CAGTATGGAACAAGTATACTGTCAACAACAACAATGAGATCGTGGAGGTTGCTTGGTTCCCCAGTGGCAAGCCCAAAGGGAAGAAAAGGGAGGTTGATGCAGTCTGTGCCATTGGATTAGTGCTGTATTGGTATAGGACACGCGGCTCAGTAGCAAGGTCAATGGCAATGGCCTTTGGCTTAACATCCACAGTGATGTATAAGTGKCTCAAGTTTTCACGGAGAGTGATGCTTGTTGCTCTCCACAAGCATCCAGAGGCCATGGTGAGTGTCCCAACAGAGGAAGAAGTGGATGCTTATGTTAAGGCAATTGGAGAAAAGTATCCACGACTTGGASAAGAAAGGGTCTGGGGTGCTGCTGATGGCCTCAAGAGTGTCCTTGAGCAGTCAGAGGACTGGTACAAACAAAAAGCATTCTACAATGCTTGGAAGGAAAACACCTTCCTCRCTAGTGTGTTTGCCTTTGCTCCTGATGGAAGAATCAGGATTGCTGTGTACAATTGCCCTGGTGCGTGGCATGATAGTGCAGTCGCCGACTATGGTGTRTATGAAAGGATCAAGGAGATCAACCAAACATGTAGGGGCGCCAAAGTTGTTGTTGACTCAGCCTTTGCACTGAAGGAATACCAGGATAGCCTAATCAAGAGCTCACAGAGGGAACCTAGCAACAACCGACTCCTCTTGTTGAACAGGGAYGCCACGTCCCTGAGACAGATGTCCGAATGGGGAATGAGGATGATCCAGGGACAGTTCCCAAGGATTAAAGACAGAATGTTCCTTGAAGAGCTTGGAGACAGGAGGATMATCATGAACCTCCTCATCAACTTGTATAACTTCCAGTGCAGCACTATAGGACACAACCAGATCCTATCTACCTTCATGAAGACGCCTCCAGCTTCCATCGACGYCCCTTACGAGAAGGAGGATCTYGTTGCAGGGTACTTCGAAGTAGGTAGGCAAATATCCCCTGATGGAAATGGAGTGTTCCCCGGAGGATGAATCCCATGGTCAACTGGAGACAATGGTTGATTCGAAAGAACAGTTTGTAACAGATTGCTGGTAAGAATGTAAAGAATGATGTTGAGTCGAAAGGTCAATGACGAATCGTACTCACCGTACGCGCCATGGTCCCCTCCGTAGCGCCATGGTCCTCTCCGTAGCGCCATGGTCCCCTTATCGTTCATTGTTTTCCTTACCTTGGTTTAACACCACCAGCAGCAGTAACTCACCAGTTCAATCATTGCAATACGTGAATAATGAATCAGTGTGAGCTTGTTGTTCCTAGCAGCTTGCTGTATTTGCTTGTTTCAACGACTTGCTTCAACGACTTGCTGTATTTGCCTGTCTTAGTGTTTCTCTACCGGCTTCTACGGAATTTCAGTAGAACCCAGGTTTTCGTGCATCGAAAACRGGATTAGAATGGTTYGCATCCTCATCCAACGGCTGTCATTGATCGGCACACACATACATTYCAACCCMCCTCRGTCCTCATAGCTGTATGTTGAGTTATAACGCATTGGTTCAATGAATATTCTWMATTGCAGTATATACATGAACTGCAATCCCGGAAAAATATATAAGAAGTATGCATGAAAACCACAAAGCGATAGGAGCTGGTGGAACTAGTACTGCGATCGTAGGTGCTTGCTGATATTGCTAGTCSGAATTGCTGAACCAACTGAGCTCATTTAATCAGTATCGTAGGATTGTTTAGTACCAAGTTTATATGCTAGWTTAACGTGTCTTTTTGTTTGTTTCCTTCTCCTGCTGACCATGGGATTCTTGTTCCTCCTGGCGTTGTCGTTTGTGCGGAGGAGCAGCAGGCTGCGAAGGCCGGGAATAAGAAGCGGAAGCAACGTGTGGAGACTC